ACGAGAGACAGAGGTCTGGGTTGGCTCTCGGCCTCCCATGGACTTGGACGCTTTTGGAAGATCTGATAGTGAAGGCGTGGAGGCAAGCATGCACATAATGGATGTTTTTCTTTGGGGGAGGTGCCTGAAAGAGGAGGAGCTCCTCACCGTACATAATGCGAACGTAGCCGATTACAGTGTGGAGGACTTACCCGATGATGACTGGCAATCCGGGGACTCACCTATTCGAGTAAGTATCAGTTTTCTTTGAGCTGTGCGAAAATCTTGTTATACTAATTTTCTCTTATGTTTCAGTTGGATGACTGGGGAAGTGAAGCTGCTGACTTAGATCTTTATGATAGAGAAGAAGGGTACTGGGAAGAACAGGCCGTAGGTCGGAAGAGAAAACCTGACAAGGACTCGGTAGTGATAGAAATGGATTATTTGACTAGGAAGCTGAGGAGGCCAAGAGCAGAAACGAATGAGGAAGTCAACCAGCGAATGCGGTCAGTTGAACTGGCTGTCAAAGAGGCCCTTGCGGCGAGAGGAGAGTTGCAGTTTACGGATCAGGAATTTCCTCCCACCAACCAATCATTGTTCATCAACCCCGAGCAACCTTTGCCGAAGTTACAGGTACAAATTTCATGGATTTTGCAGCTGTTGTTCACACTTGATTCTTTTCAGGTTGTTCAGCAGTGGGTTCGTCCAGCCGAACTAGTTCGGGACATCGGAACAAATGCAAGACCCCGTCTCTTTGAAGGCTTCACAAAGCCTGCTGACGTTTGTCAGGTAAAAGCTTTTTTTCTGGTGATTATATGCGTATGTTTACTTCGTACGCTGCAGGGCCGTCTTGGAGACTGCTGGTTTTTGAGTGCCGTCGCTGTGCTGACTGCGGCGTCGCGGATTTCGGAGGTTATTATCACTCCGGAGTACAATGAGGAGGGCATATACACTGTTCGGTTTTGCATTCAGGTAATGCATTTCGTATGTTTTTAGCTCTTCAACTCAACAAGTGAATCATTACACTCCAGGGTGAATGGGTGCCAGTCGTTGTGGACGACTGGATTCCTTGTGAGTTCAAGGGCAAGCCAGCATTTGCAACCAGCAGGAAGCGACATGAGCTCTGGGTGTCTGTGCTGGAAAAGGCATACGCTAAGCTTCATGGCTCATATGAGGCTCTGGAAGGAGGACACGTCCAGGATGCTCTTGTGGATTTAACCGGTGGAGCCGGCGAAGAAATCGATTTGACGAGTGCACAAGCGCAACTGGATTTAGCCAGTGGACGACTCTGGTCCCAGCTGCTACGTTTCAAGCAGGAAGGCTTCTTGCTTGGAGCTGGCAGTCCTTCCGGTTCGGATGCTCACGTTTCGGCCAGTGGTATTGTTCAAGGCCATGCTTACTCTCTACTACAGGTAATCCATGGCTCTCGCATGGAGATGGCGTTTTACTTACATGCTATGATTTCCTTTCAGGTGCGGGAGGTGGATGGGCACAAGCTCGTTCAAATATGCAATCCGTGGGCGAATGAAGTCGAGTGGAATGGACCTTGGTCCGACTCTTCTTTGGAATGGACAGATCGAATGAAGCACAAGCTAAAATACTCACCACAGGTATATGACGTTTTCCTGAGTTTCTTAACCTCTCATTCGACAATTTATTCATGTGTAGGCGCAGGATGGAGTCTTTTGGATGTCATGGCAAGACTTCCAGCTGCATTTTCGGTCCGTATATGTCTGCCGCATTTATCCCCCGGAGATGAGATACTCGGTGCGAGGACAGTGGCGTGGAGGAACTGCTGGTGGCTGCCAAGACTTCGACTCTTGGCATTATAATCCACAGTTTAGGCTCAAAGCTGTGGGCTCAGACGCACGAAAGCCTGTTCACGTGTTTGTGACACTCACCCAGGTTCGTTTGGACTTTACTCTACTCTTTTCGAAGCCTTTTCCACTGGTCTTTGCAGGGTGTCCACTTCTCATCTCGCAAGCGAGCCGGGTTTGAATATCAATCCAGTGGAGACACCTCAATGTTCTATATTGGCATGAGGATCTTGAAAACTCGAGGAAAGCGTGCCAAGTACAACATCTTCATGCACGAGTCAGTTGGGGGCACAGATTACGTCAACTCGAGAGAAATTTCTTGCGAGATGGTGCTGGAACCTGATCCAAGGGGTTACACAATTGTTCCAACAACGTTCGCTCCACACCAGGAAGCACCGTTCGTACTGTCCGTCTTTACAAAAGCGTCCATCACATTGGAACCCCTGTGATCCACTCACTGCGTGAATCTGTGCTCCTTGGCGCCAGAGAGGTCGGTGCTGCTGCTTTGTACGAGACACCATCGAATGCGGAGAAAGAAGGTATGTCGCAGGATTTCAGCTTTCCTGGTTTCTTAAGTATATCTTCTTGCAGATGCTGGGAGATGAGATGACACGAGCCTCTTGGTAAGAACATTTCAAGTCATAGCCAAAATCTTCATTGGTTGTCAGCTTTTCTTTTTCTTTTTTTGTTTTCAGAGTGGAAGCTTGTCTGGGTTTTGCTCCAGTTTTTGGCTTCCATGCAAGTGGAGAAGAGGAATCTGTACATAGATTCGGTTTTGTATAATCTGAGACACTAGCTTTAACCAACCATGCTCTAGTTTGAAAGTGAAAAAGACCATGGGCATATTGTCTTTTTGATTCTGATTTAAAGTAACTCCACAACATCAAAACACGATTCTTGCCTCCAAACACCAGTGCTCAAAACCTCTTGATACCTTGGTTCCTGCCAAATTAATCAAAGATCTTTAAAGGTGATAGTAAAGCAACAAAAAAGTACTTTGTGAATTTATTTTGAGAGATCTGATTACACTGCTGCTCTCTGCATCCACAGCCACCACATTGAAGAAGCCCCTAGCTGTTTTTTGATCTTGTTCTTGCTTAGAAGAGTAAGAACTTGTGGTGTAGCTGCTGCTGTTGTCCTTATCCTCGTTGCGCAGCTCGATTTCGCCGCCGCCACTGCCAGTTCCACGCTTGCCACCTTGTACTGGGGCTGGTCAAGGACGTAGACGCAAAATGAAGCCGTGTGCAGCAAGATACCTGATCTTAAAATTCCAAATCAGATCCATACCGAGAAATCAGTCACACAGTGAAACGTGGATCCGTGCAAACAAAACGTGTAACTTGTGTCAGCTGTGCCTCTCAACTGGATGTGATGCCCTCCCACATTGTTCTTTGCTTGTGTTATTTTTCCCAAAGTCCACTTAAGTATCTGATAAACATCGATCAACAAAGTTGTGGAAAGCATTTGTATGCTTTAAAACCCAAGCCGCTGAGCTCCACAAATATAAGGGAGTGTTCCAACTTGCTTTCAGTTCATCCAGCTTCTCTCGCCTTCATCTTGCTCCAGAGCTTCGAATCCTTTCATTCTTTCAAGGAAAGATGGCGTCTAATGCCGAGCAGGCACTCCTGGATGGGTTCGAGAAGGGCATTTCGCTGGGCCCGAAGATGGTCCCAGTCGTGGGCTCCTTCGCGCAGGCCATGTTCGGCCAGTTGTGGAGCATAGCGCTTGCACCCCGCACCGCGCAGCAGAAGCAAGCCGCCATGGATTCGCTGTTCGAGGCGGTGGGTAAGAAGATCGAACAAGCTCTGGCTAAAAACATTGCGGATCAAGCAAGAGCTGCGAACGCCACCATCTCCCAGCTGGGCCAGGACTACTACGCCTCCGTCGCGGCCTTCCAGGCCAATAACTCGGTCGGCACGCGCAACATCGTGGTGCGATTCGAGCAGTGCAGGGCGCAACTCCTCCAAATGCTCAATCTCTTCTCGCATCCCAGCAACATGAAGCACACACTCCTCTCTTACGGATCCGCGCTCGCATTGTACACAACGCTGCTCCGCGAGATGATCCAAAGCGCCAAGGATTGCGGCTACACCACCCTGGAAGTGGCCGGTTTCCAGAGAGACATCAATGATCGGATCAGATCCTCGCTCAACCAAGTCATGTTCGACGCTCTCTCCAAGCTGGTGAGGGAAGGGGGCGAATGGAAGTACCCCAGGATGGCCAACGTCGCCATGAGCCTCTTCAAGATCTCTGCAGGCGTGATGAACTTCCACACGGAATGGCACAACGGTGCAGCTTGCCTGATCGCGGCCACCCACAGGGGGTATCCGAATTGCGACTTTGTGGATACCAAGGCGCACTATCAGCTGAACTTCCGGCGCAGGGCCGGCGACGGGAGGAACTACTATGCGATGCCGCAGGTGTTCGTCAGTGGCCGTCCGGCACTCCACATCTACACCAAGGCTGAGCATGAGATTCGTGTAGCGCGCTTCGCGTTCGAGGAGGACAGCGTGGAGATGAAATTCCGGGCGTACTACATGGTTGATCACGACGACCTCGACTCTTGGCAGGTGTTGGTGACACTAAGCAGCCTTTCCAATCCTCGGGTACGTAAACTTTGATTCATCAACTAAAGTTGGTAGCCTTGAGGTTTGCAGGAGCTTCAGTTCAACCTCAGCAGGCGGGAATCCCCCATTGTGTCCTTCCCGTGGGTGAAGATGTACTACTCCAACACAGAGGGAAGTGCTTGGAGCACCAATTTTGACAAGTTCAGCGCCAACATGAGGGTTTATTATGATGAGTACAGTTCGTTCAAGCCAGTCAAAGGCATGGCTTACAACATCACCACTAAGGCTGCTGGGCCTGCAATCAAGAATTACTATCTGATCGCATTTGAAGTTGTTCCAGCCAAGGCTCCAAAGCTGCCATGGCTGTGATCATACATTGAGGGAAGTTAGGTAACCTATAGAAACAAAGTTTTATGCTTTTCAGTTAAGTACCACAGCACATTGAAAATAATAGAAACAATTGTTTCATCCATCTCTAGAGGAGAAATTTTTTTTTACTAGTATTGGCTATAATTTTTTTTTTAAAAATGCTTTAAGAATATTCTCAGTTTTGTGTAAGCCCTAAAACTTTAGTCTGCGTCATACCTTTTTGCATAAACAAGGCCCCAAAATTTCGCTATGTTTAGCTAAGGCGGCGCCGCTCCTGGGCGGTGACGGCGCCGCTGAGATTAGGGCTTGAACTGATTGATCGATCGATCGATCCATCGCCCAGCGGCGATGGGGGCGGCTAGGCGGATGCTGAGGCACAGCGCGGCGTTGGGAGCTCTGATCGGGGGCATTGCAATCGTGTCCTACGCCAAATCGCAGCCAGTGCTGGCCAAGGAGCGGGGGAATGGCGCAGTGGATTCGCTCAGGGACAGGATGGCAGCTGTGAATTGGACAGTGCCGCCGCGATTGGTCCAGGAGGCGCTCCTGCGCGGCACCAGCCCGGCAAGCCCTCTTGATCTCCTGGTAGTCGGGGGTGGCGCCACCGGCTGTGGAGTCGCATTGGACGCCGCTGCTCGTGGCCTCCGTGTTGGGCTGGTCGAGAGGGACGATTTCGCGTCTGGGACTTCTTCCAGGTCTACCAAGCTCATCCATGGAGGTGCGTTATAGTTTCCTTTCTTCAAAGTAAGATCTTTCCTGGATCGATCAGACTTTTTTTCTCTGGATTGCTAGTTTCTTTCTGGATCGAACAAAGCTCTAATTTTCCTGAGGCTGTGCTTGGATCGATCATCTTAAAGTTCTTACGTTCCTCTACTTGTTCCAACTTCCAGGTGTGAGATATCTCGAGAAGGCAGTGTTTCAGCTGGACTACAAGCAGCTCAACCTCGTCTTCCACGCACTGGACGAGCGAGCGCAGCTCATCCAGAATGCTCCACACCTCTGCCACTCGCTCCCCACCATGACTCCCTGCTACCAGTGGTGGGAGATCCCATACTACTGGGCCGGACTAAAGCTCTACGACATCGTCGCTGGCCGCCAGATGCTTCACCTCTCCAGGTACCACTCCGCCAAAGAGTCCTTCGAGTTCTTCCCGACGCTTGCAAAGACAGCCGGCGATGGAAAGACGCTCAAAGGCACGGTGGTCTACTACGATGGCCAAATGGACGATGCTCGCGTCAACGTTTCTCTGGCTTGCACGGCGGCGCTGGCGGGAGCAGCGGTGCTCAACCACGCAGAGGCAACCGCGATCATCAAGGATGAATCCACTGGCCAAGTCGTGGGTGCTCGAGTCCGGGACAATCTTAGCGGCAGGGACTTTGACGTGCATGCAAAGGTCGTGGTGAATGCCGGGGGACCTTTTGTGGACGAGCTGAGAAGATTTGCGGACAAGGAGTCCAAGCCGATGATCGCTCCCAGCAGTGGCGTTCACGTCGTTCTTCCCGACTACTACTCGCCCGAGTCTATGGGGCTCATTGTTCCCAAGACGAAAGATGGCCGGGTGGTGTTTATGCTGCCATGGCTGGGAAGAACGGTGGCTGGCACCACTGATTCTATTTCCCCTATCACCATGCTTCCGGAGCCGAAGGAAGAGGAGATCCAGTTCATCTTGGACGCCATCAGTGACTACGTCTGTGTCAAGGTAAAGGAACAACAAGTTGATCTTTCTTTCTTTTTGGTTTCATTTTTCCTGTTCTAACTTTTTCTTTCCTCTCAGGTCCGTCGCTCTGATGTTATGTCCGCGTGGAGCGGCATTAGGCCTCTAGCCAGTGATCCGTCCGCGAATGGAGACACGTCAAGCATCTCCAGAGATCACGTAATCTGCGTGGAGCCTCACGGCATGGTGACAATCACCGGTGGAAAGTGGACGACTTACAGAAGGTAAGTTTTACTTTTGGGTCATAGAAAGACTATTAAAGCTTTCTTTTTCTCAGCATGGCTCAAGATGCCGTGGACGCCGCAATCAAAAGTGGGAACCTCTCCCCAACAAATGGCTGTGTGACGAGAGACTTGCCTTTAATCGGTGGCGAAGGCTATGATCCATCGTGCTTCGCAATTATTGCACAGCAGTACGTTCGCATGAAGCGCACTTATGGTGGAAAAATAATCCCGGGAGCCATGGACACTGCGGCGGCGAAGCACCTGGCTTCGGCCTATGGAGGAATGGCTCATCGTGTTGCGCTCATTGCCCAGGTACGTTATAGTTTTTCTAGCTTTGGAGTTTCTTCTTCGCTTATGAGCGAGTGATCCTCTCCTTTCTCCTTCTTTTGTAGAACGAAGGTCTTGGAAAACGGCTGGCGCACGGCTATCCTTACCTAGAGGCCGAGGTCGCGTATTGCGCGAGAAACGAGTATTGCGAGTCCGCAGTGGACTTTATCGCGAGGAGATCGAGGCTGGCTTTTCTGGACACGGATGCAGCGAACCAGGCACTCCCTCGGGTGATCGAGATACTGGCGGAGGAGCACAAGTGGGACAAGCACAGGAAGAAGCTGGAGATTAGCAAAGCCAAGGCGTTCCTTGAGACTTTCAAGTCGTCCAAGAACGCGCAGTTTTTTGATGGGAAACACAAGATGGTGAGGTAAGGAAATATATTTATTTTGATGATATCTCTTGGTGGGGATATGTATAAACGTCAGAATTAATCTATAATCTCACCACTTGGAAATATCTTGTTCTAAAGTTTAGAGTGAGCTCCACAACAAAGGAGATGGACGCTATGGGGCCACTTCACGAACCTATCCGCGAGAACTGTATGGATCTGGCTTTTCTGCTTATACAGTATAAACTCGTACTTGTGTTCCATGACCTCGTATAGACTATAGGAATGTTGGCGATCCAATAATGTCCGTGAATTGATCCGCTTGACATGGGAATGCTGGCGATCCAATAATAGTCGTACCTGAATTGATCCGCAACTGTAAACATCGACCTTGAAGCTTGTGCTGCCCAAAGTTGGGAAACAACAAAACTGGTGGGATAAGGTTTAGAGGTATGTGATAAGGTGGCCCTGTGATAAAGAATCTTCAATGATGCCTAAAGGGATCTTCAATTGAGCATCTGCAACTGGAATCCAAGTGGGTCATAGAGTTATGGAGGTTGAGAGATTGTGAAATTAGGCCTCTCTTTGGGGTTTTTGCATTTAACAATGTTTAATAGTGATATTTAGAAGTGTGTCTCATAATTTGTGTCCCAAGTTGGAGTGTGATTTATAGTGTAGAAAGAAATTGTCTTGAGGCTTGCAACATCCTATGCAAGCTTCTTGAACTGTTGTGTATGAAAGCTGCTGGCATTATTTTCTTGGCTCCCCTTCTATGGCATCTGGGGCTATAGTGAGTTCTAGCACCTTTAACACCTTCACAATGGGGTTTCTTATGGTTTTTGAGGCTGGCTGGGGAAATCCAGTGGGGCCTGATGGAGCTTTTGCATTTTCCATGTTGAGTTGGTGGGTTGGTGACACATGGGTTAATCACAACAAGTTCAATCGTACTGGTGTCACAAGAATTTGTGTTGTCAATCTAGTCATAAGTGAGGTGAGAGAGTTTGATGCCAGTAGCTTTTCCCAGCTGGGTCTCTTGCTTGAGGCTTATGCAAGTCATGATTGTGGATTGCATGTAGGCAAAATCAATGCTCAAAGCCTTTGGTTGACACTTCTATAGTTTCTGGGTTGAGTTGTTTCTAATATCCTTAAAATGCCCAAAAACATACCCTTCCCCAATACATTCCCCACCAAATCTTTTTCCATCCACGGCCATACTAGTCAACATTACTATTAGAGTTGTTTGACCCAATTTGATTTTGATTATGCCATAATACTTTTGTTTTATCTACTTTTTGTGATTAATTCTAAGGGGTGTGCCACTTTTTAGGGCACTTTAAGACTATTAAAACGTTTTAAAAAACTTTTAAAATTGATTTTTGAAATTTTTTTTTAGATATGCAACACTTAGAAATCATAAAGGAAAAATCAAAATTTATAATCATATTTTTCTCGCCCACCCTTTATCCAAGAGCCTCCGCTTTAGTGTGTCATACTCAGAGTAGCTAAAGCACATAGGACTGCCATGATCCAAGTCGAGCCAACCGGAGTAGATTCCCAGAGTAGATTTATAGGAGTTCAATGCCACATGACAATTTGGCATCATTCCATTGACATCAACACAATCCTACCGGACAAGGGTGAGGATTTGGAGCAACAAGAAGTGACAGCGGCTATGGTTGAAGACCATTTCGAATGCCTAAGGACGTTTTTAACTTTGGAGGTGGCAGCTGGCATTTGCTGCAGAAATATGGATCTGGACGTGGGAGAGAGGAGCCTCCTATGTTAACGCTATTTAACAATCAAGGAATGCTGGGAGCAAAGATTGTAGAAGAGGCTGCAAGGGATTGATTGTCAGCAGCCAGGAGGGGTGCAAGATGTTTTGGTCCTAAGGGGCATTTGTGAAACACTGCTGAGGACTCTGCAGGGGATGAAGGAAGTCCTGAGGCATTTGTACAAGGTGGAGACTGCAGCTCCCTTGTCATAAATGTGGAGTCAAATTAGGACTTGAATCAAGTTTGGGGGGGGGGAGGGGGGGATGCAGAGATGGCATTTTCCCACAAAATAGAGCCACTCTTGCAAGATTTACTATCAAATGAACAAACAGTGGCAGTAGAAATCTATATGGTAACAAAGTTTTCCAGCAATAGTAGCTTGGCTAAGGACCAATGTGAGTCTTAGATATGTGATTGTGGTTAGCAGTGGTAGGAAAGAAGTATAAGTGCCTAATATATAGATAAGTTTGGCATTTGCCAAGTGTGGGTTAGAGCTTTCAGAGGAAAAAAAAATAAAAGAAGGAAGGTCATAGAAACTTGTGGCTAGCTGAGACAAGGATGGGTGGTGTTGAGTTGTGGGCTGGAGTATTCAAAGGATGAACATGGAAATATGGATAGGAAGGTGACAAAAATGCTAGGGGGAACTCTCACACTATGGTGATTTAACTTGCATGGGATGTTGCAAGTTTTAAGTTGCTCTGCTTCACACTCTCAAACACAAAGAAAGATCCTAACTCAAGACACAAGTTCTATCACACTTCTAATGATCACTATTAAACACCAGTAAACACATATCAACACAAAGGTGAAGTTCAGTTTTGCCCCCAAACACTACTTTATATACTACTTATGCCATCATCCACTAAGTTTCCCAGCCAACCCACAAGCCTCCACTACCTTGCTATCCCTATCCATTCTTCCAGTCAGTGTGCTCACATTTCTTGCTGAGTGCAAGCAAGTCACCCTTCTTACATAGTTTCCTCACGGAGCAAGAAAGGTTCACCGTGGATGACAATCCAGGTTGAGAAAATTACTATCGTTGACATTGGATCATGCTTGACCACTTGAAGCTGTGGAGTTAATGATAATGGACATAGCTTGCCAATCATGTCTTCAGGGTTTCTTTTCCTGGTATCGTACCTGAAGATCAAACATTAGAAATTTATCACTATTGACACCTTACACAAACAGGGTGGTGGCTGGATGCATGTTGATAGATGACTTCCATGATCTGGGGATATGCAAGGTGTGGAGATGGCGATCTGGGAGTGAAGATTTGCTTCGTTGCCCGATCCAATAAATTTCTAACCGTTGATTTCCACAAATAATCAGTTGATCTACTCGGTTGTCTAAAGGAAACAAAATGTGCACCTCATCATGATCACCCTGGAGATTCAAGTGGCGCTTTCTCAGCAAAAATGGATCGACGATACTGGACCAGTGTGATCGAATCCTGTAGAAGCCGCAGCACTGCAACGGACATTGACGATCGAGTCTGCCGTCTCTTCCGCTGTGATGATGTCTTCATGTTCAACAAGCTCATCGAGATGCACGGTAATTGCAACAACATCGATCGAGCTCGACAGATTTTCGACAAGCTCAGCTCCAAAAGAGACGCATTGTCGTGGGAGAGAATGCTTGCCGTATACTGCCGCGGCGAGCAAATGCATCACGCCACCCAGATCTTTAATGAGATGCCACAACGGAGCCTTCTCTCCGCGACTGCCCTTTTAACTGCATATGCCCATTCAGGGCATATTGACCACGCAAAACTAACGTTTGATTCCATTCCCGAGCTTGATCTTGTGTGTTGGAACGCAATGCTGGCAGCTTTCGTCCAGCACAAGAACTTAGAAGGGGCAAAAATTATTTTCTGGAGTATGCCCTCTCCTGGCATAGTGTCGTGGACCGCTTTACTAACAGCATATGCCCAAGAAGGGCATTTGTATGAAACAAAGGCTCTTTTTGACCGGATGCCATTGGTTAACGTGGTGTCATGGACGGTCATGATCTCTGCTCACGCCCAAAATGGCTACCTCTTTGCCGCTAAGACCCTGTTTGACGAGATGCCCGAGAGGGATGTGATTTGCTGCAATGCAATGTTGGCGGCTTTTGCTCAGAACGGGCATTTAGAAAAAGCTCTAGAGCTTTTTCATGACATGGAGGAGCGAAACTTGTCCACGTGGAATGCCATGCTGACGGCATTTGCCCAAAATGGCCACCTGTCAGATGCCCAGCGCGTTTTCCACAGGATCCCACAGCGCGATCTCGTGACGTGGAATGCCATGCTGGTGGCATTTGGAGAGAGCGGTGACATGGACAGGGCAAGGGGGGTGTTTGTCGATATGCCCCGGCTGAATCTGGTGACGTGGAATGCCATGCTGTCGGCATATGCCCAGAACGACTACCTTGCTGAGGCCAGAAACACGTTTCAAGCCATGCCATGTCATAGCCTCGTGTCCTGGAATGTCCTTTTGTGTGTGTGTGCCAAGGAAGGACGGATAAAAGAATCTAGGTCTGTGTTTCTCTCCATGCCAGAGCGAGACATGGTAGCATGGACATCCATGATAGACACATATGCCCAGTTTGGGCATTTGGAAGAGGCAAAGCACCTCTTTGACCTCATGCCACATCGGAGTCTAGTGACGTGGAACTCCATGCTGGCAGCCTTTATCCAAGGTGGACACGTAGAAGATGCTAAGAAGTTTTTCGATACCATGCCACAGCAAAACGTAATCTCTTGGACAGCCATGCTCGTGGCATATGCCCAAGGGCGGTATTTGGGAGAGTCCAAGGTTATGTTTGATGAAATGCCACAGAGGAATCTAGTATCCTGGAATGCCATGTTCTTTGCATATGCGCAGAACGGGCATATGCTCCAAGCGAGGATATTCTTTGAAAGGATGCCTAGGAAAGATTCCGTGTCATGGAACTCCTTGCTCGCGGTTTACACCCACAACGGCCTCTTCCGCGACACGTTTGATGCGTTTGATGCCATGAAGATGCTGGACAGCGTCGATTCTAGAGACCAGGGTATATTCGTGTCGGTGCTGGTCGCGTGTAGCCAGGCAGGGAACGCATCGCACGGCCGCGGTTGCTTCCAGTCCATGGCGATGGATTTTGGAGTGGAGGCGACACACCAGCACTACTGCTGCGTGGTGGATTTGCTTGGTCGGAGTGGCTACTTGGAAGAAGCCCAAGATCTATTACAAACCATGCCCTTTGTTCCCGATGCTCTGGAGTGGACGAGTTTCCTTGGAGCTTGCAAGAGCCACAGTAGCTTCGCCCGTGGAAGCTATGCCGCGAGGAAGCTGGTGGAGCTAAGTGCCAAGGAAGGAGGAGCCTTTGTTCTCGTGGCACACATGTACTCGCTCGCTAATAACAAGAGCTCGGAAGAAAAAGAGCCGCGGGCATGCGAATCGAGAATGCGGGCGATTCAATCGATCGCCCTTCAACAAAATATGTGTTTGCAATGAACGTGGTGGTGAAAAAAGTAAGCACAGTGCGGAGGAAGCGTTTGCAAGTTTCTATGCCACAGCAAAATGGACTGGCATATGCCATCACGTCTAGATGATAACGAGAAGTTTCAGCGTTTTACACCCACAACGTCATCTTCGAGGAGATCTCCAAACAGGTAAGCGAGTCCATAGCTATGTTGCTGAGCGAACGAATTACTGTTCTTCAAACAGCGTGGTGGCGACTGCCTGCTGGATATGTACGAGCATGGAGGACGCTCTCTTAGATGAAGCGTTCCGTGGACTTCCATGATCTCGGAATATGCAAGGCGTGGAGATGGCGATCTGGCGAAGGCTCTGAGCCGGGAAGGGGGAAGCTCCAGGCAGAGAAGGAGCAGAGAAGGAAGAAGCTCCAGCGATCCACGGAAATCCTGCTCCAGGGACTCGAGAATGAAGAGCTCTTCCCTGTTCCAGCGATTCATGATCTTCACTGCTTTCTATGCTGCGGTGTTTATGGAAGAACGGTGGCCGGCACCACTGATTCTACTTTCCCGTTCGTCTTGGACGTCTGTCTCAAGGTTGAACAAGTTGATCTTTCGGTTTAATTTTTCCTGCTGTGGAGCGGCATTATCCCTCCGAACCTTAAAATTTACAAAATCCTCTCCGAGGGCTCTAAGTTCCCTTCAGTTTTCCATGATCGTCCTGGAGATTCAAGTTTCACTTTCTCAGGAAAGCAAGCAAAAATGACCGAATCCTGTAGAAGCCGCAGCAGCAAGGGACATTCTCTTTCACTGCGATGATGTCTTCATCCTCAACAAGCTCATCGAGATGCACGGAAATTGCAACATTGATCGAGCTCGACAGGTTTTCGACAAGCTCAGCTCCAAAAGAGACGCGTTGTCGTGGGAGATGCTCGCCGGATACTGCGGCGGCGGGCAAATGCATCACGCGACCCAAATCTTTTAACGAGATGCCAGCAGAGCCTTTTCTCCGTGACTACTCTTTTAACAGCGTATGGCCATCGATCACGCAAAACAAACGTTTGATTCCATTCCCGAGCTTGATCTTGTGAGAACGCAACGTTGGAACCTTTCGTCCAGCACAAAAATTTAGAAGGGTATTCTCGAGTATGCCTTGTTCTGGCATAGGAGCATATGCCCCAAAATGGTATTTGCATGGCTTTTTTCGACCAGATGCCTTTGGTTGGTGGCATAAATCGCTGCCCACCGCAAGGGATATGCCCCAGCTGTCTGGTGACGTGGAATGTCATGCTGTCGGCATATTTGCCCAGAATGCCTAGATAGAGATGTTTATGATCATGGGGACCCCGTGGGGCATCAGACCTGCAAATATGTTTCATGCCATGCCATGTCAGAGCCTCGTGTCCTGCGGATCATGGAATCTAGGTCTGCATTCCAGAAGCATGGACATCCATGATGGAACTCCAACCTTCTAAGAAATTTTTTCGATACCATGCCACCTCTTAGCCAAGGAGAGTCCAGGGATGTGGATGTGGATCTCGGGATATAGATGGCGTTCTGGCTCTCAAGTTCTTCCCTCACGCATGCAAGAAGAATTTTGTAAGCCGGATCATGTCACGGTTGTTAGAAGGAAGAAGCTCGAGCGTGTCATGGAATAAAAGGGAGCACTTAACAGGAGAACCAAGCAAGCCCCGGTACTCCTCGAGCTTCCCTCAAGGCAGCAGGCACATCAATCTCCGACCAACACTTGGAATTTACTCTGTAGTCCCGGCCATCAGCCATGCACTATCCTTCCCATCGGTGCATGTTGATTTGTTCCACACCAACGGATTAGGAAACTCGGTAGTGTATGGCACAGTCTCTCACTTCGCTTCCCGCCTCTCAGCGAGGATCACTCCCCTGACATTTTGCTTTTGCATGAGTGAAAGCGGCTCCTGATCCAGCTGAAAGTAGGACCAGTCGTAACATCCTTGAGGGATGCAGCGGTGGGAGAGAGCGTACCCTTGGCGGATCTGGGATCGTCGATTGTTCGTTGCCATTCGCGGCACACGCACCTCGCCTTGTACAGATCGGTGAGGGAGGAACTCTCTTCTGGATACGTATTGCAAACTGTATCATCATCGGGTATGCGGAAAGGTGCCGAGAGAGATCCTATCATCGCAAACGCACTCGTTGGTTTCGTCATAAAGTGCGAGGTATTTAGTTCCATTTGGAACAAAGATTTAGTGACATGGAGCTCACTGATCGCAGGCTATAGCTGCCGAGGCGAGTGCTGGATCTTTTCGAGAGAATGGAGAAAGTTGGCGGTGTGAAGCCAGACGGTGTTACGCTCCTCTCCATGCACCTGGTCGACAGAGCGAAGGATGAATTCGAAGGAATACCTCATAAGTATGGGATTGCCCCCATGATTCAACACTACACTTGCATGGTGGTCAAGTCGACGAGGCAGTGAAACTGGTGAAAGGGCTGTGCTGGGAGCTTGCTGGAAGTGGAAAAATGTAACGCTCGGGAGGCTGGCTTTCGAGTCCATCATGGAGCTCGACCATCAAAATGCCTCGGGTTACGATCATCAAACAGGTTTGAAGAGATTTTCTCATGGCGATCAGACGAGCAGGTCTCCAGGTTTTGCCATGACGATGAAGAAGAGACAAGAGTATGTATCATATGATTTCTAGTTCTTCCAGTACGAACTCAGTGCTTTTACTTGCAGAGAAAGAAAGCAAGCCAGGCTTTACAGTTGCAGACGATAAAAAAACAAACCTCCATACCGATTATATTTTTTTGTTTCTTTTCTCCAGAAACATGTGGTAACTTGTCCACTTTCAACTGCCCTGGCAGAAAGAAAAACCAAGAGGAGAAAAATCTCAAACGCTTTGGCTGGATTCCAACTGGTGCTTGTCCACGGACCTACGGTCTACGGGTACACTGAGTGTATCCAAGAGTATGTATCATATACGTTTCCAGTTCTTCCAGTATGAATTTAATGCTTTACTTGCAGAGAAACAAAACAAGGCACATTTCCAAGGAGGACAAAAGTGGCACTCTTTCTTCGAACGATCTATAGATGATAAAGAAGAAGAAGAAGGGCTGAATACCATCGAACAGAAATTATCTCACGAAAAAAACTGCGATCAAACAAACTTAGTGCTTTAGTTGCAGAGAAACAAAACAGGGCAGGCTTTACAGTGGCAAAGTCAAATGGAGCTTTCTTCGAACGAACCAACCAAGTTTTAACCTTTATACTGATATTTTTTATCTCTCTGACGTTTTTATTTTGTCTCAGAAACATGTGGTAACCAACTGTCCTGGCAGAAAACAAGCCCAAGGGGAGAAAAATTGCAACGCTTTTGGCTGGATTCGAACCGGTGATGGCCCCCGGAGCTACGGACAACGATCTCTACGGGCGTACGCTTCGTACGCCTTTGAAACCGCGAGTCGCGTTCAATGGTCGGTCCACCAACCAGCACTCGCAAAGAGGATGGGATCGACGGCTGGGGTTTTTTTTGGAGTTTTCCTCTTCTAGAAGCCTCTTTTAAAAGAATGTATTTTGGAAAGGACGAATGGCGGCATATCCTCGGGACATGTACGTGTTTCGGCCTCCCACTGAGCGCCGGGCACGTGTCTCCCAGGTAAAAGTAAAACGCGTCAAGGAAATTCTTCTTACCTTTTGTTGCTAGGATATTAAGTAGAGCGCCCAGAGAGAAGAAAGAGAGTGTTCTTGGCGATCGATCGATCGATCGATGCGTGGCGGCGAGCTCCAATGCGCTGGATTTGTGATCGCGGATGCGGTGGAATGATCTGTGAGGTAAGTGGGCACCCGCATTGTGGTGGATTGAGCTTGATTTTGCTCCTCTGGGGTTTGTATTCGCGAATTCTCACTCTCATTGTGTGTGTGATCCAGCAGAGAGCGTGATCGGTGATTTTAATGTATCACAGATTCGTTGGAGCGCAGAGCGTTCATGTAGACTACGGCTAATTCTGCGTGGACGGTGGGGTCTTTTGCGAGCCCCTCTCTCTCTCTCTCTATCTCCATATCTCGTTTCTCAAATCATACGCCACCATGGCAGTGATGAGAACTATTTCGTGCTTTCCGGTCTTCTCTTCGTGGAGCTCACAGGTACAGTGTTTATTTTTCTTTTCTCGCGAATCTTTCTTGACTGGAATGATTGTTTGTGTAGAAGAAGGACAAGAAGAAAAACAACGACGCTTCCTTGTCCGAGAGGAGACTGGATCTAAGCAGAGAAGTTTCGGGAAAAGCTAAAGTCTGGCCGGGAGATGATGCATCACCGACAACTGGTGGCTCCAAGGATCCAGAAAAGCAAACACTCGCTACTACTGACTTGAAGAGCTCCAGCGCGAGCGTGAGATCGCTTCCAGATCCGGAGGATTGCAAGACGCCCTCTACCAGCTTCTCGTCTTCGGCAGAGTTTTCTCCCATCGTCATCCAGCCAAGTGGTAGCGATTATCATCCAGCTTACGGCACCAAGGATGGTGACGAAGAGGAAAGATACGATGGTTCTATTCGCTCCGCCTTGAAGCATGTCGAAGACTGGGTCCGGAACCTCGAGGAACTCGACGAGATGGATAAGTCCGGCGAGGAAGATCCAGAACAGGATACTTGTGCTCAAGCTGCTACTGCGGCCGAAGATCAAAGTGACCCGGATAGAGAGCTCAACGATCTCGTCGTCCAGTCCTTAGATCCGCTGGCAGGGAGCGCTCACTTGGCCGGGATCGGCCTCAAGTCTCCTCCTTTGCTGGGAGCTTTCAACAACTTACGGAGCCTTTCGATCTCTGGAAACTCCATCGGTGAGATCTCTCGTTTTCTTTTCTAGAGTTTCTCTGACTTCTTTTTCCTACAGCTAAAATTCCTCCGGGATGTCTCCCCAGGAACCTTCACTTTCTCGACCTCTCCCGAAACAAGATCTCGGTGATCGAGGGGCTTCGAGGACTAAGCAGGCTGCGCATTCTCAACCTGTCCCACAATCGCATTTCACGAGTTGGACATGGTAAGATATTTTTAAACAAGTGTGGTTTTTTTCCCCTCTATTAAGGACTTGTCAGCTGAAACCGGTATTAACGAACGAATCGTCACAGGCCTGGGAAACTGTACCTCGGTACGAGAGCTCTACCTCTCCGGCAACAAAATCAGCGAAGTCGAGGGGCTCCACCGCCTGAGGAAGCTTTTCCTGCTCGATCTCAGCAACAACAGGCTCACGACTGCGAAGTCTCTGCTCCAGCTCGCGGCAAACTACAGCTGCTTACAGGTCTTAAACCTGCTTGGCAACGCGGTTCTTCTCAACTTGGGCGACGAGCAGCTCAAGCGGCTGGTGGGAGCCATCGCTCCTCGCCTCAGCTATCTCAACAATCTGCCCATCAAAGCCGTGCCGGCGCGGGAGGCCGTGGTGGGGAAATTCGCAAGGACGGAGCTGGTTGGTGCGAGGAAAGCGAAGAGATCGTCGGGTAGCAAGGCCAAGCGAGTGGAAAGCTTGCAAGCAAACTCTTCCCGAAAGAGTGGAGGACGAAGGAGACGTAACAAGCATTTCTAGAATGTATGTATTGTAGGACTCTGGAAAAACTCTCTTGTTTTCCACAGGACTGGTAGAAAAGGTAACAGGACTGATAGAAAAGAAACCTTGGAAAAGATACAAGCATTACTGAGCAATGGGATTTGTACTAAAAGGTGGTGGGCACAGAAGATTCAAGCTTTTCTTTCCCTGGGATCCCACATAGTTTATTTGTCACACACTAACACTAGAGAGTAAGAGAAACCAAAACTAAAAAGCTTTTGTCTAGACGGCGCTAGATCCATTGGTAGCACTGTTGTTGGCATCTGGAGCTTGAGCCATGGAGGTCGTCGTCGTCGTCGTTTCCTCATCGTTCTCTCCGGACAAATCTTCGAGGCTCTTGCCTTTAGTTTCCGGAACCAGCCAAGTGAAGCAGAAGCCCGCGAGATTGGCGAAAGCCAAGACTATGAGCGACCTCTGCATGCCAATGCCTGGACGATCGTAGCCACTGTCAAGCTCCGCGCGGTGCCTCGATTGCGATGCGTAAGCGAAGCCAAAGGTGCCGATGATGGCACCGGCTTTGCCTGCTGCTGCCGAGATACCGTGACAAGTCGCGCGGAGCCTGGCCGGGAACAGCTCCGCCGGGACGATGAAAGTCGTGCTGTTGGGCCCGAAGTTCGCGAAGAAGAACGTCAGGCCGAAGAGGGCGATGAAGCCATGGTTGTGTCCCCCCATGTACTTCCCGGTGTCGTGGTTCTTGTGTTGGCCTCGCCAGTAGCTCTCGTATGGAATGGCCAGAGCAAACATGAACACGGTCATCATGAAAAATCCCATAAGCTGAATCGTGAACCTTCCAAGGTGGTCGATGAGCGCGACTGTGAACCAGTAGCCAGGGACCGTGCCGAACATAGCCACCAGAGCTTGTGCTTTCGCGAGATCGAGCGTCTCTTCCAGAGCTGCCAGTTGCTTCGCCTGCTTGAGATAGCCAACCTGGGTGTAGATATCTTTCTGGAAGATTTGCTGGCTGTAGAAGGCAACGTCGAGCAGGAACCATGTCGTCGTGGTTCCCAGGAGCTGTATACCGTGCTTCCTCGCGAACTTCCAAGAGATCAGAGTGTACTCGTCCTCGGCCTTGACGGTGCTCACGGCTTTGTTGTCCACCGGGAGGTCCACCCGGAGCACCTTGCTCATATCGGCGGCGGCTTGATCGAGCCTCTTCTCGACTAGAGCTGTGTACCGTGCTGTCTCTGGCATTTTCATACGCCAGTAGAACGTTGCGAGAGCGGGGATGCTTCCCAGCATGAAGATAATCCTCCAGACAAAGTCTGCCTGGACTGGCGTCGAGGCGATCGGGTCTTCAAAAAACTTGGGAGTCGGGAAAGCATGCTTGAAAGCTGCTGACACGACGATCGTGACGATAGCCGCTGCGAGGATGCCGAAGCCTTGCATAGCGAACACTGCAGCTATAAAAGCTCCCCTCGTCTTTGTGTTGGCGTACTCCGACATGATGGTGGCCGAGAGAGGATAGTCGCCCCCAATGCCGAAGCCGAGCCAGAACCGGAAGAAGCACAAGGTGGTCATGACGGACTGCGCGGTGCTGCCGAAGGAGAGGCCGGAAGCTATGGAGCAGATAACCATCAGCAGCAGCGTGAGACCATACACATTCTTCCGTCCCAGTTTGTCACCGAGCCATCCAAAGAAGAGCTGTCCAGCCAGAGTTCCACAGAGAGCCACTCCGCTCACAGCGGCATTGACTTGCACTGGCAACGTGCCTGGCTTCCCGGTGTGTGGATCGTAGTAGTAAATGCGTCCGAGGAGCTTTGTCAGCAACGAGATGCAGAAGAGGTCGTAAGCGTCTGTGAAGAATCCCATTCCCGCAATGACAACGGCTGTAACATGATACCACTGCGTCTTGGCTTTGTCCAGAGCATGGAGAACTTCCAGTTGGTCTCTAGCCATTTCCTTCGGCAGCTCCTTCGTCTAGGAAAAGAAAAAGAAAAGTCTGACAAGTTAGATACACATCTAAAAGGATATGAGAGACCACACCTTGAAAAAAAAGGCTGCGTTCCTGCTCCTCCTTGTGCGTAGTTATGAAGCCAATTATTGAAGATAAATAATCCCGCCCAAGCTGCATATTCTGCTGGACATCCCAAGTGTTCCACCAATAAAAGCTGGCTGTGTGCTGGCCCCGCAGCGATATGCACAATGTTTCCTCGTCCTACACCAGAGAATTTGATCGAGTCCTGCGACAAAATGTGACAGCAAACATCTCATAATGAATTAAATATGCGATGAAAAATATCACCTTAGAAATTGCGAAATGATGACAGAACAATCTTTGGGATTAGTGTTGCACCTGTTCAGGTACTTGTGAATCTGCGGCAACAGCGGCGGCGTCTGCTTCTGTTTTTGAAACCCTCCGTCTCTTCATTGACGCAGGCACAGATTGTTGCACAAAATCGCCGTATTTTCTACCACTGCGAGTGCAACGAACCACCGGCAGAGATTGCGGTGTAGTAACCACCGAGCTTCTCGACGTCTTCGGTGTTTTCGGTATTTTCGGTATCTTAGCTTCATTCGTCTCTTCCACTTCTGCTCCGGCTACTGGCTGTGGCTTCTCCTCAACAGGGGTAGAAAACTGTTGATCACTTTCCATTTTCTCGGCATTGTCCTCCGGTTCGTCAATCCTTGAATAGAGTGTAGCAGGTTCATCGGGTTCGTCAATCCTTGAATTGAGTGTAGCAGGTTCATCCGGTTCGTCAATCCTTGCGTCGATTGTAGTAGGTGCATCCTGAGCAGCAAAAGCCTCCGCAGCTTCAGCTACAGCGACCTCGGGTTCTGAAACTTCCATCTTCGAAAGTGCAGCTTCACTGACCAAAACAACTTCAATGTCGTGCCGAAGACCATCAATTATCACCATTCCTGTCGTATCAGGGTCCTGTTTACTTTCCTGTTTATTCCCTCCATCCTCCTCCTGCGCATTTTCTTCCTCTTTGTCGCTTTCATCTGAATCTCCTCCCTCACTCTCAGCTGATTCCTGTGCGTCCTTTGCGTGTTCTTCTTGTATGCATTCAGCTGCGCTAGCAAAGGCTCGGTCAGCCGCTTCTAGTTCTTCTTTGTCGCCCTGTATATCAGAATCTCCCTTCGTATCAACAAAGAAAATGTTGCCAACTTCTTCAGCATCTGTAGCTTGATCGATCTTCTTGCTGCGACCCTTCTCAGAAACACAATTCGCTATGGTAGATGCAAGAACTTCCTCGTTAACGCTTGTCAGCCACCCTGATAAACCAAACAACTCAGCACAAACGACAGCAATAACGTAAAACAAGGTACCTATCAAGGTGCGCGGGTTCAAGAGTATATTATCGGCAGGCTTGCCTTCCATTTTAGACGACTGTAACCACTGAGCAAATCCAGCTGGGACACTCCATGACGGTAGCCGGGAGGAAAGTTCAACGGCTTTTGTTCGGGCACCTCGTAATCTGTTTTGTAACATAATAAATATCTCAAGTACATCGACAACTTAAACGCACCTATAAAACTCCATTGCACGTTGCGCTAGCCCAATCTTTTTCAAAAAGAGAGAAAACTTTGCGTTGGCTCCAAGGTGCTGGTCGTTGAGTCTAGGTAAATCTGCCAGCACAACATCGTACAGGATTCCTCTCAAGAATAATTCTTCCTCCGTGTTCTGGATGAAAGTACGCGGCATGAGAAATGCAAATGAAAGAAAAACTCACCAAAATATGTTCCACCGGAAGAATTGGATCCAATAACACATCCACAAGCATATCTGCTGAAAGTCAGAGGTTAGTTAGAGAGGGAGAGCAAATAAATCTAGCTGACCTGCACCGTGCACCGCCAGAAACTTGAGGCGCTCCGAAAAATCGTGATTTTCCAAGTCCACCTTCTTCTCACTCTTACCGCGCAGTTCCAGGACGCTCACGATCACTCGCAGTAGCACGGCCTCAGAAGCTACAATGCCTGCACAGGTTTCCATGTCACCACTTTCCACCATCATCGAATTCTTCATCGCTTTCGAGGAGAGTGGAAAAAGCTTCGCAACACCTTTGTTGTCGCTGTTCTCGATCCCGGTCAGCTTCATCAGTCCCTTTCCAGCCAGTACCAGGCCTCGAAAATCCAACGACGAAGAATCGTCGCTCCTTAGAGTTTGAGATGGCCTCGCTTGCTGTCGACTTGTGTAAAGCGCTATGCTTCCCAAAACCTCCTTGCATGCCAACTCGAGCAACTTTACAGCGTTGCGCCACGACTTTGATGGACAGGAACCAGAAGATGTGATGATAGAGCCAGCTTCCGAAAGAGCAGCAACCACGGGAGCCATCGCAGCCACCGCAGCAAATGGATTTGTCGTCAACCCTCTCAAACGATGCATCAAATCCTTGGCCGAGGAGATAACGTGAACTGCCACCTTCTCCTTGTTTTCCTGTGCTAATGCCAAATCCTGTGAGCAATGGAGCTCCAGTGCTGCGTACGCCCACCACAAGGCCAATGGAGAATCCGGACGACACACCAAGAGCCTCCTACACGAACTAATCCATTCCTTCAATCTCTCACCGTGCCCTGCCAAATTCTCTACAGCCACTATCACAGCTTCCACAGATTTTCCAAAAGCCGCGTCTGTCACTACCGGTCCCTGTGAAACCTGGAGCAGATTATCACCCGGCAGCTCCTCGCATTGAGTAGAATCCAGCATTTCCTTCACTGTCTTGCACAGTAGGTCTCCATACCTCGGCAAATCGGATTCCAGCGCCGATCGCAGCTTCCCGGAAGGCAAATCCGCAATGGCGCGCTCCAGGAGCGGCTGCAGACGACACATTGCAGCCGATCGATCGTCCCGGACGAGCTTCTGCGCCACAGCGACCACGAACGCGCTGGCCCTCTTCATTCTTCCCATCCTGGCCAAGAACCCTAGCTAAACCCTAGAATATGAAAAATAACGTTGACGGGACAGCCTAGCAAACACCCTTTAGTTTGACGGGCGTGACGAGTATCCCCTTCCTCCACTCGGGATTAGGGTTCTTGGATCGATGGCCCGGCAGCGCGAATTGGAGGGCGGCCAGAGTAGTGATTCCCGGCATAGCTTAGCTCCGTGAGAGGCGTGTTCTAGATTTGCAGCAGCATTGTGGGAATGGAGCTGGGGAGGAGCTCATTCTGGCGATGAAAGCTGGGGATTTCTACGAAGTAAGCCTATGAGTGTCTTGAATCGCTACAAAGATCTGGATTTAGGGCAGCAAATGGCGTCGATTGAGGTCCTGGGATTCTCGGCACTGTGTACCTGTGCCGCGGTGCTACTCTCCACATGGCATATTTACATGCATCTCATGAACTACACGGAGCCGACGTTCCAACGCTACATTGTGAGGATCATCTTCATGGTTCCGGTAAGAACAAAGCTTTTTTTTCTTTCGTTCTTGGGCCTCACGGCCGAGTTCTTCGCAGGTCTATGCGATGATGTCTTTCCTCTCGCTCGTGTTGAACGACAAATCCATTTACTTCAACTCTATACGAGATATGTAAGTTCCACTCCTCCCAAGTCTTTCATTTTCTTTTTCCTCTCTTTCGTGGATCTGACTTTTGTTTCTTTGTAGATACGAAGCCTTCGTGATCTACAACTTCTTGTCCCTGTGCCTAGCTTGGGTCGGCGGTCCCGGCGTCGCAGTCCAGAACTTAAGTGGTCGAGTTTTGAAGCCATCAATCCAGCTGATGACTTGTTGCTTCGCTCCCATTCCTCTCGACGGGTATGCAAACGCATCCATTTCTTGGTCGGTGCTGATGCCCCGTTCTCTGGATTTGCACAGGCGTTTCATTCGAAGATGCAAGCAAGGCTGCTTGCAATTCGTCATTCTCAAGCCCGTTCTCGTTGCGGTGACTTTTATTCTGTACGCCAAGAACAAGTACGAAGACGGGAACTTTAGCACGCGGCAGAGCTACCTGTACATCACAATCATCTACACACTCTCCTACTCTCTAGCCCTGTACGTGCTCGTCCTCTTCTACGTCGCCTGCAAAGAGCTTCTCCGGCCTTTCAAGCCCGTGCCAAAGTTCGTGATCATCAAGTCAGTGGTGTTCTTGACGTACTGGCAGGTCCGTTATCAACTTTGGAAGCAACAAAGTTTTATGGGATCTAACTTTGCTTTTTCTGTTCCCCCGCAGGGCGTCCTGGTTTTCCTGGCTGCAAAGTCTGGGCTCATAAAGAACGCCGACGACGCAGCGGACGTCCAAAACTTTATAATCTGCATCGAGATGGCGGGTGCTGCGGTTGGGCACCTCTACGCCTTTCCTTTCAAGGCTTACGCCGAATCAAAGGCGGGTACTGCAGGAGGACTTGCCGGAAGCTTTACGCACGCCTTAAATCTCAAAGACGTCGTCTATGACACAGTTCACCAGGTGAATTGAGAGTCTTTCTTCGCTCTCTTGGATTTGTTGTCATGGTTTAATCGTTTTCGTTTTGCTACCACAGTTTGCTCCTACATATCACGACTACGTCCTGTACAGCGAGGAAGACGCTCGAAAGTATCGATTGAGAACGGGGCAGGAGATGGAAACGATGCATCCTCACGCATTCACCGACGCGGACACCAATCCCATCCGCTATGAATCTCATCCAGTTGGGCCGCTCTACGAGACATCACTGCTGGACACGCTACCTCCAGGCCAAGCAACATCGCCCATCAGAAAGAGCAGCTCGGAGCTCAAGACCGCGGCGGTGATGAAAGCTACCATCGACGCCAAGATGGCAGGAGACAAAGCTCACTCGGACGAGATCAACATCTTGTGAGCTCTATAGTTTTATCGACGCCTGCGAGAAAGAGAGAAAACTTCTGGAGAAAAAAATGAGAATTCGATTCATTTTTTCTTTCGTTATACAAATGATAGAATGTCTTGGCATCGTCTCGAAGCACCACATCGCTCGATATGTGCCCGAATGGCACACAATAAGAAAAAGGAAAAAAAAATAGTCTCAATGTACAGTCTAGCTAAGCCTTACACTCAGTTACCTTATAAAAATGAGCCGACTCCCTCTGGAAAGAATGTTGTGTGGTATTTACAACGCTTGGCGAGCATACTCCTTGCATCTGTCCTTGAGCGTCTGGAACAACAAAGAGCGAGCATCGTTTCCAAAATCTAGAAAAACAAAACGATTCCACTATAAACATACCCGCAGTTCATCGTGAAGCAAGAGGAACGTTTTGCTCATTCGCTTGAATCTCTGAAAGGAAGTTAAGTTCACAGTAAGTAAGACTGATCAACCGGGACGGGAAGTGTTTTCATGTCACCTTGCGGCAATGCATATAGTCCTGTTTCACCTTTTGATAGATGGCTGCGAGGCGAGTCTTGTCATTGGCGCTCTTCGCAATGTCAATGTCTCTCTGCAATCTTTCAAAACTTCCCCTGGCACGAGAAAAATGAGAAAAACAAACAAAGATGAGATTGCTTCCACACGTACCTATCGCCTTCCAAACAAGAATTCAGTTGAATGTACACAGGATACTTCTCCCGGTATTCGCGACAATACTCCATGTACCTGAAAGACCACGACGAGAGTTAACACAAACATCAAAGAAAGAAAAGAAGAAAGAAAATACGTACTGTTCATGGCTTCTGATAGGACCTCTCACTTCGCTGACGGCTTTCTCGTACGGAACAAAAAAGTCCGTGTCCTTAGACGTACCTCCCGGAACCGGATCGGAATGTATCCTGTCTGCCTCTACCCGAGCTCCTGTATCGAACTCTTTCCTGTCTGCCTCTATCCGACCTCCTGTATCGAACTCTTTCCGAGGCTCGTTCCTGTCCGCCTCTACCCGAGCTCCTGTATCAAACTCTTTCCGAGGCTCGTTCCTGTCTGCCTCTACCCGAGCTCCTGTGTCCAACTCTTTTCGAGGCTCGTTATCTTTCGGTTGATGCTTGCTCTTTCTCACAGAAACCTTCGAGCGTCCGTCGACTTTAGCAGGAGGTCCAGAAGGTCGAGGATGAGTCTCGGGTCCAGAATGTTTGGGATGAGCCTCAGGTCCAGATGATGTCCTTGGATAAGCCTCGGGGCCAGAACTCCTCGCCTCTGCTGCTTCAAAAGTGGTGTCTCGTGTATGTGGTTCCAACTTTTTATCAGTATGTGCCCGTGAAGAAGCTCGTTCTCTCGAGTTTTGTTCCAGCGCCTTGGAGACCGGAGGCTCGACTGGTTTTTCTCGCTTCTCGTCTTCACGCGGTCGACTCTGACTTTGAGTAGGAGCTGGCAACTCAGGCACGTCGCTCTTGACTTCCAGTGCCTCTTCAGGTGAGTCACCATCGCATGGAATAATGTCAACCTCTAACGGTATAGTCTCCGTTATTCTCTCCACGATAGAGTTGAGTTTGGAGCTATCATCTGCGTCAACAATGTCGATGTCCTCGGAGTCCTTATCTCTGTGAAGTTCGTCAGGAGTCTTTCTTTCGGAGCCAGGTCTCGCACTCGCAGGCTTGGATTTGTGAGACCTTTTCTCTGCTTTGGCTTTCGGCTTGTGGTTATCGTCGTCGCTCACAATATCAACATTTTCGTCCTCCTCGTCGCTGCTACTGCTGGATTCGCTGCCACTACTTCCACTACTTCCGCTTCCGCTACTGCTATCGCTTTCACTATCAGAGTCGCTATCGCTGCCACTGGTGCTACTAGAACCACTGCTCGCCGCAGCCTTGGGAGGATTCGGCTCCTCCAAAGGCTCTACAGTAATATTAGCATCGTCCCCTGGAGTTCCTCCCGGTTGAACTTCTCCCTCCTCTTCGTCCTTTTCTTGTATGGCGTTGGTTTTATGTTCTAGTAGCACTGGTGACTTCGCCGGACTCTCATCCTCTTCCCCGATATCTATCCGTTCTACTTCGACACCTGCGGCAGGTAACTTCGCAAACTCATCCGCCTTGGATTCAGCAGCACCGGCAGGAGATTCAGGAGAGTCCACTGCCGTTGCATCTGGTAAACTGAAGAAGAAAAAACAATTCTTACGGATCGGCACAAAAGAGCGCCTTTGAAATATAAACATACCTGCCACTTCCAGGAGATGGCCCTGTATAACTTTCCGGCTGAACTCCAGGCTTGAGTTCGTATTTTCCCGGAGCTTTATATAGAGCGATCTGTAGGCATGAAACACCATAAGTAGAGAAAAAATGTAGAATATAAAACTAAAGTTACCGATTTTAAAATCTTCTCGATGTTCCTTCTGTCCGGTTGCGGCATTACTTCGCTTAATGATTTTTCAATAGCCTGCAAAACCAAGGATGAGCTTCGTGTATGCAGCTAAAACTGTACCTTCATTCCCCTCGGGGTTTCGGTCAATAAAGCAATTATGGTGTTTCGCAATTCAGTCATGTTCACTGTTCCTCCTGCGGCTCCTCCGGCAGAGGTCGTCGTCTTGACATGAACTTCGGGTGTTGTAGCCGCCGACGTTTTCTCCTTCTCCTTCTCCTTTTCCTTCTCCTTTGGAACCGCTTTAGCTGGCGAGGCGCTTCCGATGGTGATCTCCTCGACAAGCGCACGCTTCTCCACACTTGGCAGAGAATGCGGAGGAGCGGATGCAGTCGCAGCTAGAGGCGGAGAGCGAGCTGCCGGAGGCACAGCCGGCTCCGCAGTTAGTAGCGGTCCATTTTTCTCCTTAGACGGTACTGAGGCAGAATGAGCAGGAGGTGGCTTAGACTTAGCAGGAACCACTAAAAAATTTATTTCTTCAGCAAAATTAAGAACACCCTCACAGCAACTTACCTGCCGGTGTGACCTTTCGTTTCTTCGGTGGCGGTTCCTTCTTCCCTTTTATTGGAGGTCTTCTGGCAGCAGCTGTGCAAACAATCGTGGTGAGGAAAACTCTGCAGCAGAAGCATTGAAAAGACTTACCATCTCCCGGTGCAGCCGTCTCCGCTTTCATCAGCGAAGAATCCACGAGAATGGCCCTGCAAGCACGCACAAATGAATGG